TTTGGTTTGGTTTGGTTTGGTTTGGTTTGGTTTGGTTTGGTTTGGTTTGGTTTGGTTTTTGTTGAGACAGGGTCTCACTGGGTAGCCTTGGCTGTCCTGGAACTCACTGTGTCGAACAGGCTAGCCCCAAACTCATAGAGATCCACCTGTCTCTGGCTCCTGAGTGCTGGGATTAAAAGCATGTGCCACCTTGCCCAGCCTTGCCAATATTTTGGAGGGTGATAAGGACTGAGAAAGCCAAGCATAACTCAGGCTGTTGACTTGAACAGCAAGGGTGCTATCACCATTGCCCTGCAGGGGGAGCAGGTCTGGGGAAAGAACTCGGAAATGTTGGTGAAGTCATGCCTTTTGTTTCTGTTGTTCCCTCCACTGGCTGCTAAGCAGCAGGATGTCTATGTGTTTACTCACATAGCCACAGAGCCTAAAACAGAGTTAACCTGAGGTCAATAAATGCATGGCCTAGATGGAGCCTCCTTTGAGAACTAGGAGATAAAATAAGCAAGTGGTGTATGCAGCGGAAGTGGGCAGGCCTCCTCGGCATGTGCAGGGACACCCTTGCCCAGGAAGGAGTTCAGTTCACAGACATAATCATTTCCTAAAGGAAACCCATCTACTGGCATCCTTCCCTCCAAGGAGAGCTCAAGTAACGTTGAGCGGTTGAGAGATGCTGTGACTGTGCCCATCTGCCTGGGGATGCCCTCCATCACTATCAGAGTGAAAGACACACCACTGCTTCTTTCAGGGACAGATTCTGGTAAATGACGTGGCTGTAGAAGAAACTGAGGTCGCTGCCAAAAATGGCCGAATTTACACACTGACTGGAGTTCTCATTCCTCCCTCCATCGTCCCTATTCTTCCCCACCGATGTGATGAAACAAAGAGAGAGCTAAAACTGGTAAGAGAATTTTAAAAATTCGGGAAATTGGGGGCCTGGGCAGCCACTGAAAGCAGGTAGCATCCTGTGCCCACAATTCTGAGAAAGCTGAAACCATCCCCTGAAAGTGCATGTCCATGAGACGGCACATGGTCCTATCAGCTGTGAGACAAGCTTCTGGTGGGATTTCTATAGGAGATGGCCTGCAAGTGAGTGCTGGAGCCTGCCAGGAGAGTCAAACAGTACCTGAGTGGGGAGTGAGGATTTAAAATAATTAAAACAAATCACACTACACACAGGATGGCTAGAGAGGGCTGTCAGTATGACTGAAGCAACCTGGGTTTATTCCAGGGTTCATTTTTATAGGTAAAAGCAAAAACAAGTCACATTAATTAAAAAAGAAAAGGTTCGTGGAAACGCCAAACTTCCTTTCAAAAACTACCTCCCTATAGTAGATATAGTCCTTTTCTAAAACTAATTCCCTAAAGCAGTTATGGTCCAAGGTCACACAGACAAGCTTTTAAGGAACTTGGTGACACCTCCTTTCCTCTCTCTCAAGGCCAAGGTGAAAGCAGTCTTTCCACTGAGATCTAAATATCAAAGCAAGCTGGCAAACCAGTGGCTCCCAATTGGTGAGCAGGGATTTTTGGTGTTTCTGTAACAAATTACCATAGATGTCAGTCAATTACATCTGACAAATAAAAGTTCCTTTTACATGGACCTGCAAAAATGAGGACGGGATTAGGATAGAATCATTTAATGTGCTCTTCAGAGCCTTCAACTTCAGGAATCTCTGTTGGTTCAGAGAAAGGAGTTTGGAGAGAGATATGAGCAGCCTAATGCTGGCCATTTCCACTTCTGGCTGTTCAAAAGCTTGTTCTTCACCTTCCTAAGAGACAAACTAAAGATGCGGGCTTGAGTTACAAATCAAAGAATTGTGCTTCAATAGGGAGAAGAACTTTCCAGCAGCCAAGAATGAGTCCTTCTACTCTTTAACATTCACTATTTCCTCCAGGTTCTTTAGTAAGCTCTGCCTGCTCTTCTTAGTTCAGGGTGGTTTTGATTAGATATCTCTTAAAAGTTCAGATGAATTCTCTGGAGAGTATGTATTTAGGTCTAGAAAGAGTAGAAATAATTGGAACTTCCTAAAAACTCCTTTTTTAACACATGCAGAGCATGCTGCCTTTGAACATGTTATTTTTGGACTTTAGATGTTTAATAAACAGCACATCACAAGCTAGGAGGTGGTGGAGCAAGTGGATCTCTAAGTTTGAGATCAGTCTGGTCTACAAGAGTGAGTTCTAGGATGGCCAGGACTACACAGAGAAACACTGTCTAGAAAAAATAAATAATAAAATTATAATAAATAGCACTTAACTAATTCAAGTCCCTGCAGGAAACAAAACTTATATCCCAGATAGTTCAAAAGGATACAAACATTTGATGCTGAGAAACAACCACAGCAGCCATCCCACCCAGAACCAAAGGGCTAAGAGTGAGGAACAGGGTTCCCTGTGAGAGTAGGAAGAGCAGAAGAGGCTATGTGGAGCTACAGAGAGTGTGCCAGCCCATGTGGGAGCAGAGAAGAAATCTTTGCTCTCTTCCTGCAACAAGCACCATGCTGGTTCCTCCCATTAACCCAAAGCAGCTGCAAGTTGGTCAAAGAGCTAGACAGAGGATGTCAGAGAACAGATCTGGACAGATCTGAGGATGTGCATTTTGTTCCTCCCTTCCCAAATTAAAATCAGTGGAAGCAAAGTAAGAATTGAAGGTCGAGGTTCATTGTTCAGCTTTATCACTGCTAAGCTAATAGGTTAGCTCTGTGTCAGTGCTGACACTGTGTCCCCGGACAGGAACAACTGAAGGGTGCCCTCAGGGTCAGGTGCTTCTCATACAGAGAGCTCAGACTGCTACAGCCTGTTTGCCGCTGTTCTGAGAGAGAAGCAGGTGTTCTGGGCATATTCAACTTCCCCAACACTTATCCAGCATTGGTTTCACTCCTGCACCCTGGGGAGGAACTGGAAGGACAGTGGGAGAGTCCAAAGGAGCCCCCTTCACAAGGAGGGAAGCCTAGGCCCCTGAGAGCAGTCTCCCTGTTTCTGTGTGGGCATGGGGATGCCTGGGCTGATTCCTGCCTTTCTTTCAGGGCTCTTGCATGAGCTGTTCCCTGATAAATTGGAGCAAATGTCCTGCTGACTCTGAGCCCACAGTGAGTGTGATAAAGTTGTTTTATGTGCAACCTGAGCAAGCCCACTGTCCTTTCTCATCTTTTCTGTCTGCTTCCTTCTTTAAGTGTGGGCTAATGTATGGCTTCTGGCCTACCAAGGCAGGAGTGGGAGAAAGAGACCCCGCAGATCCGTGTTCAGCCATGGTTAAGTCACTTAACCTCTTTATCCTAATTTTCTTTTTCTGTTGATAACAACAGGGTTAGTGTAGATAAATTCATATTAGCCAAGGAAAAACAGCCTCTCAGAGCTTCCTCTCAGCTTCTCCCTCCCAAATAAAGGACAAGATTTGTATTTGCTCTTATTATGCATAATTCTGGAGAAATACACAGGAAAGATCAGGAAAGGTTACACACTTTCAGCTAGACAAGAAAGGTAAGTCCTAGGTTAGGCACAGAATCCTGACTGTATACAATAGGGTCTGATGTCCTGTGTACTTAAAAAATGCTAATACTAGATTTTGAATGTTCTCCCCACAAAGAAATAGTAAGTGGATGAGCCAATAGTGGCATTAATTAGCTTGAATTAGTCATTTCACATGTAAACATGTAATATTACCCTATAAATATCTTTATTATTTGTCAACAAAAATAAAAATAGGGGCCGGAGAAATGACTCAGTGGTTAAGAGCACTCACTGCGTTCCTGAGGACCCAAGTTCAGTTCTAACTCCCATGTCAGGTAGCTTACAGCCACCTGCAGATCCAGCTCCAGGGCATCCAATACCCTCCTCTGGCCTCCATAGGTACCCACATGCACACACACATGCACACACACTTTAAAAAATTAACTTAAAAGAATAAAAATCAATGTCAGGAAATAACACTGAAAACATTTAAATGTTTTATGCTAAATTGAATTCTTCATATGTTTATTGAAGTTTGATCATCTCTTAGACGCACTGCTTGATTATAAGCCAAATAAATATCATATTGGTCGGGGTTTCACCTTGAGAAGTTCAGAATATATATATTGTTCATTATATATTACAATTGTACAGCAATCTGTAGTTAAACACCAAGTACTCTGTTGAAAAAAAGCAGATGATGACAAAAACATCTACCTTTTAAGAAAGACTTTCCCAAACAGGAGATTCTTTCCATATTAGAAAGAATATTGTGATGAGATCATTAACACACTCCTAGTAAGGAATAATAAGGCAGAACAGGTGGGTGTGGATGCTCAAGTGTTTGTTGTGCTTAATGAAGCCATTTCGTACAAATCCTTTGGGAAACTATTAACCAAAACCAGGAGAAAGTGAAGAATAAGTTGGTATCACTGACAGCTGGATGACAGACATTGTAGTATCCACTGTCTACAGCAACCCTGGAGTATCAGTTACTTCTTCAGCTGCTGTGACAGAATTTTTTGACAAAAGCAACCTAATAAAGGAAGGATTCATTCTGGCTCACAGTTCAAAGGGACACAGTTCACCACAGAAGGGAAAACATAGCATGAGGCTACTTCTTACATTGCATCTACAGTCAGGAACCAGAGAAAGATGGATGCCAAGTGCTTAGCTAGCTAGCTTTCTTGTTTTTATGGACTCTGGGACCCTAGCCCACAGAATGGTACTGCTCCCATTTAGGAATATATTTTCCCTAGATGATCTGGATTAATTAATCTAGGTGATCCCTTATGGGCGTGCCCAGAGGCTTGTCTTATAGGAGATTCTAGAGCCTAAAGATTTAACAATAAATATTTACCACCAAACCTAGGAAGAATATATATCAGCTTGACTGCTGTGTGGCTTGGGGATACAAGGCAAGGACACATAGCTGACATGTAGAAGAATCAGGATTTGATCTGTGAGTAGGACACCATTTAGTAGCCTCAAAGAAAAGGGAGGAAAGAGGGGAAGAAAAGGAAATGGGTGAGAACCACAGAAGCTCCTGAGAACCCATGACCCACAACTGGTTCATTCCCTAAAATATTCCTTCCCTCGTGATCTCAGAATGCATTTTTACAGATAGGATTTTAGGTTTTGTTGCCTGCTAAGGTCTCATCACTCTCTCCACCAAAGCAGAGCCTAAGACAGGAGATAAGCTTGGCACAGAGATCCATCTAATTCAAAATCTGAGCTGGAAAGTAACTTTATGGGCTGAGACTTGACATCAGCATTATTGTCCCATTGCACGTGAGGCAACTGAGACCTGAGACTGTGTGATGTGCTCTTCATCCTAAACTTAATGAGTCAGGGCACTCAGTCTGTGGACCAGATATTAGCAGTACTAATGGAGTTGGGGGGGAATGGTTTAGCCTATCTGATCCCCAATTTCCTCATATATTAAAGGAGAAGCAAGAGAGAACATTCAATGAATTGGCAGCCTGATGAACCATATGCAATATCTCTAGCATTTTGTAAGTCCACCATAAATGGGAGCTACAGCAAACTACAATGGGCATCAAAGATTAAAGAATGGAAGAGTGCATTTAGTGAGGCCCTGAACCTAAGAGGAAAGCCTTGTGCTTTTGACATTTATTTTAGTTGGTGGGGTTTTGTTTGTTTGTTTTTTGTTTTTTTGTTTTGTTTTGTTTTGTTTTGTTTTGTTGTTGTTTTTACACATAGAAGAGATAGATACTTACTGGCTCCAAAATGTCGACATGAGTGTAAGGATGGCTGCAGCACAGAGGAAGAAGCCAGACCACATGCAGATGAATCAGAGTCCTCCCTGATCGATTAGACATGTCTGCTATAACATGAGAAGTGTAAAGATCCCTGTGCTACAGGGTGCTCAAAGCTTGGCCCATATTCTACCAACAAAGAGAGAGGCCTTGTGAAGACTGCAGGCTGACTTGGACTCGGGTGTGCTGGTGTGGCCCTTGCTCTGGTATCAGTGGCATCAAGGAACAGAGTGGCTGGCACAGGTTGTGTAATGTCCACAGGATTCCAGAATGCATACAAGACTGATTTTACCCACTGCCTTTCTCCCAGGCACTCTTCACGCACAAATGTTTCTACAAAAGCAAAGGACGGAACCTGAAAAGTGGCTGTGCCCGATATTGTAATGCTACTGTGAAGGTGAGGAGAGTACAGCCAGGGGCTCATCCAGGACACCAAGACTTGGGAAGCTCCGAGCTGCATTGTTGAGCTCCAGGATCCTCATGGTCATGAGTGGCCTGCAGGAATTTAGGATGTCTTCCTGAGTGACAATCAAAGGCTAAACTGGGTAGTATACTCAGGTCACCACTTCCCTGAATCATATCTCTCTCAGTGCCCCTGCCTCTTCCCATAAAGCCCATGACACCTACACAGGAGCCACCCTCCACCCAAGTCTCTGACCTGGCTCTTACCCACATTCCCGCCTTACAATATGCACACCTGATAGTCTCGTCCAGATACGCAGGGGCTGACTTACCTTTCCAGGCTCCTTCTCCCTAACCCCTCCTGTCACTACCCGGCAGACCCTCACACTCCATCTCTCCATGCCAGCACTCCACTCCAGCACTTCTCTTCCTAGACTCACCCTTCCCTGGAATGCTCTTTTATTTCCCATCTGTTTGTTTACATATGGGATCAAGCCCAGGGCTTTGCAAATGCTAGGCAAGAACTCCACCACTGCGTGGTCTTCTGGTCCCGTCATTTCTCTATTTTATCTGCCATGTTGACTTTCCCGACCTCTCATGTATTCTCTACATGCACTAGCCTCCATCTGCCTCATTATCTTGTTTACAACAGAGACGTTCGATCGGTTGGTGTAGAGTGCTAGCAAGTTCATAAGAAGGGTTGGCATTGTATCTCCCCTAAAACATCCCTCTTTTGAGGAATCAGTGTTCTTCCTGGGGTCCCCAGGGGCAGCATATGTGTTGTTTCCAGGTACCAAAATGCTGTAAAGGCTTCTTCGGGCCTGATTGCAACCTATGTCCAGGAGAGTTCTTGAATCCATGTTCTGGAAACGGACAGGTGAGTACAGCCCCTGGTTCACACTGTCTCATGCATGCTGATTTTCATAAGTCACACGGTAATGTTGAAAACTCCTAAGCCAAAAAGTGGCACAATGCTGGCCAGTATTCCCAGGAATCAAAAGATCTGTTACTAAAACAGGAGGTATCTACAGCAGAGGAGTCGGCCTGCGGAGGGGAGCTGAGGAGGAGAAGGGCACTCAGGAGGATGTTGCTCAGTCTCGTCTTCCCTATAGTTCACTGTGAGATCTCAGACAACTCAAAACTCTCTGGACCTCACTTCCCAAACCTGTGGGAGATCCTAAGTCCAGGGTTTTCATGGAAATTGAAAAAATAATAGCATTAGCCTGTGGTTGCTTTGTATTGTTTTTAAACCAAACTTCAGAACCTAGTGCAATGTAAAAGCCAGAGCTTGACTTTACTTGGAGGCCAAGACCACACAAAGGAAGGTAGAAGTAGCTGTGATCATGTAGGGGACTATAGATCTGGGGATTTAATAGGTCCACATCTAAACTATGTCTCTTGCAAAGGGAAAAACATGGGGGAGGGGGACCAGTAGTGATGCCTGGAGCCTGATGGTTAGTGGGGAAGGAAGCCCACACCCAACTCTGGTGTTTAGCAATCAGTACCAACCTGGTCTTGCCAGGACTATACAGATAGGAGAGCAAGCAGGCTTTACAATGGAGACAAAGCACTGTAGCATAGACCACAGCTGAGTAAGCAAGAGCATGGAGAGAACAGGCCAGGTCTCAGCTGAAGGTCCCTGTCTGCCTACTGCCATCTCCTAAATGTTGTGTGAAGGGTCTCATTTTACATTGTAACCTTCTTATTCTGAGGAGATAAAAACAGGTATATTCAGAGTACTGACAGAAAAAAAAAGGAAAGGAAGGAAGGAAGGAAGGGAGGGAGGAAGGAAGGAAGGAAGGAAGGAAGGAAGGAAGGAAGGAAGGAAGG